AGGATGTATGTTTTTGTTGTTTTTGTGTTTTTTTTCCCTGTGTTTCCACCCTTCAGTTTCCTGAGCTTAATTCTTAGTCTATTCTCAGTTAATCATCCTCACCTGTTCAGTCATCTCCAATCAGTCCTGCCACCAGGTGTTCATCATTTCCTCATTCCCTCTGTTAGTTTAAATACTGGTCAGTTACTCCACATCCTTGCTGGATCATTACCTGGAACTCTCCTACTGTCTCGTTACCCCTCGTGTCCTTTTTTTGCGTCAGCACCACAACCTGACATTGTCTTTGTTCTTATAATTTTCCATGTCCTGGATGACAGCAACATATTATACTAACATTGGTGTCGGACCATAACGATGTTAAACTTACACTAACAGAATTGATATTTTAGTTTCACTTCCAGCACGTCGCTCCCTTTCCATAAACACAATGCTGCAACCGGAGCAGAATGCAGAGTCAAATGTAAACACTGCACAAAACAAACATGTCAGATATTTATTTAATCTGCTCTGATTGCACAACAACTTCAAAATGGATACATACATGCGTACATGTAGCATCCATGTTTACATCTATAAACAGCCAGCTGATTGTGTCATGTCATGTCTTCTGCACATGGGGGCCTCATCAACGCTGTGGAAACTGGAGTCCGATGGAGGTCGCATTTTAAACATAATGTGAACGACCACACAGAAAAATCTAATTTGAGCAAAACTTCCAAACTGATCATTAAAGGGGACCTGTCATGCAAAATTCACTTTTTAAWKWTTTTTTTTACTCAACCATGGGTATGTACATCTTTAAAAAACAGTCCTAGGACCAAAATAATGCACCCAGGGTTATATTTACTCTAAGTAAATGTGTTTTTCATGTATATTAATGTCAAGTTTTCAACTTCCTGCAGCCTGTGATGTCACAGGCCGGACTCAGCCCACACCAACCTGAGCCCAACTCGTAACCCAAGCAGAGACTCCGCCCGCGGCCGGCCTGTGAACTGTTTCTTGGGGGACACTTTTGCTTGCAGCACCGCTATGTGCGTTATAGGCTGTGTCCAAAACAACAGGCCGGGTCCTCCGGAGGACCCAGACTCCCCGGTCTCGGCGGGCCGGGTCCTTGGTAGACCGGGAAGACCAGAAAAAAAGAGGCTGTGAATTTGGACGGTCTAGCCTCCCCTCCTTACTCTGGCGTACGTCATGT